AGCCACACCCTCCCCTGGCTTCTCCCCCCAGAGCTGGTAATCCTCACTGCAGCCCCCATCCGCCTGTGGAGCAGGACACAGAAGAAGAAGAAGAGGAGGAGGAGGAGGAGGAGGAGGAGACTGGATTTATACCCCGCCCTTCACTCGGAGTCTCAGAGTGGCTGACAAACTCCTTTCCCCTCCCGTCCCCACAACAGACACCCTGTGAGGTAGGCGGGGCTGAGAGAGCTCTTTCGAGGACTGCCCTTGAGAGAACAGCTCCTGTCAGAACTACGGCTTGCCCAAGGTCATCCATCAGGTGCAAGTGGAGGAGTGGGGAATCAAGCCCGGTTCTCCCAGATTAGAGTCTGTGCAGTTATCCCCTCTCAGATCCCCAAAGGCTGGGCAAGTCCGCTGCAAGGGCTTTGGCAGAGCCTGCATCAAGTGGACGAGGCCCAGCCCTGGCCTCAAAGACGGAGGGGTCTGAACTGGCTGAGACTGAAAGGGGAAAAGATCTTGGGGTCGTAGTGGATCGCGCAATGAAAGTGTCAACCCAGTGCGCTGCAGCGGTGAAAGAAGGCAAACTCTGTGTTAGGGATGATTAGGAGCGGGACTGAGAATAAAACAGTCAAGATTATAAGGTCCCCTCGTATAGGTCTCCGGTGCGACCTCTTTTGGAATACTGTGTGCCGTTGTGGTCGCCACGTCTCTTAAAGCTGGGGAAGGGGCAGAGGAGGGCAACCAAGATGAGGAGGGGGTGGGAGCCCCTTCCCTGCGAGGAAAGGCTGAAGGGTCTCTGGGACTTTGCAGTTCAGAAAAGAGACGACGAAGGGGAGACAGGATAGAGGTTTAGAAAATTATGCATGGGGAGAGGGAGAGAGTGGATCGAGAGAACTCTCTCTCCCTCTCCCCAAATAGGAGAACTCAAGGGCATCCAGTGAAATTGATGGGCAATAGATTGAGGCTGGACAGAAGGAAATACTTCTTGACACAGAGAGTGACTACTAGCTATGCTGAATAAAGGGAACCTTCCAGGGGTCATTTTGTAGAAAAAGAGGCGCAGGAGCTTATTAGCATAACACATTAGCATAACTCATTTGCATATGCCACACCCCCTGGCATCACCGGAAGTGTGTCAGAAGGCAACACCCACCGCTCAGGCTCCACTGGGGGGGGGGGAACATGCAGATCTGTCCCTGCAGCGGGGGGAGCGCTTGGACCTGAATAAAACCTGGTCTTAAAGGTGCCACTGGACTGTTTTGGACATGCTGAGAGCAGGGGGTGGGGCATGTGCCCGCCCCCTGGGCTCTTTACTGCCGGAGCTCCACTCCTGTGCGCTGCAGGAAATGACCCCTGGAACCTTCACATCCAGAGGCAGTAAACCTCTGAACGCCAGAGCCAGGAGGGAAGGGGAAGGGGAAGGCCTCAGCCTCTATGGAAGAGCCATGGTGACTAAAGGGAACCTCCATGTTTAGAGGTAGTCAGCCTCTGAATCCCAGTGCCAGGAGGCAACTTCAGGGGAATGACTCAGTCTCCATGCCCTGCTGTTGTCCTTCCATAATAACTGGCTGGCCGCTGTGTGAGACAGGATGCTTAGTGAACCAGATGGACCACTAGTCAGATCCAGCAGGGCTCTTTTTATGTTCTGGTATTTAGCTCAAGTTGCTCAAGTTTATAATGACAGGAGGGAAATTTTGCATAGGTATTTTTTCCTGGAGTTATAGGTTTGATTTGCAACCGTTTGTACTTGTTACTTCTTGCCGAATGGAAGGAATTATGTTTTTTTTTTTTTCATAAACTTGTTAACTCAAATAAGTTGTCTGTTTGTTCTGCTGGCCAAAGATCTAACGTCTGACCAATAATATTTTGTTGTGCTGCGAGATATAAGTCAATTTTAGGGAGTTTATCTTAAACAGACCTAACTGGAATATTTCGTGCTGTATTGGCTTAAGGTGGCTTTAACCCTCCAAGAGCTGAATTCAGTGTAGATCTCTAGATTGGGTGTGAACAGAATAATCCATCACCCTGGAGCATTTCATGAAACCCTCTTCAGGGCACACAGGTTCCACAGCAGAGGCTCACGGAATCTTGCCTGCAAAAACTGTTCCAGGGAGGTCAAAAGTTTGAAAACCACCGTGATACACCATTGTATAGCAGCACTTGATGCTGCCGAGGGATCAAACGCTTTCAGGTTTTAATGATCAAATATCAAACGCTGAATATGAATATTGTCTGTGTCTTGGAGGACATTTGGAAAGAATTTTAACATGCAGAGAATACTGGGAGAATGTTTACTATCAGGATAGACCAAGGAGACGTCTGAGGGGAACCTTTGAAAACCAAACCCGTTTTTTGCTCCATGTATTGTGTGGCAATAAATGCTGTGCCATTCTGGGGTGGGGGGCATCTATGGTCGTGACCAGTGTTCCCTCTAAGCTGAGTTAGTGTGAGCTAGTTCACAGTTTTTTAGCCTCTGGCTTACACATTTTTGTCTTAGCCTAGGGAGGATGGCTCCAGAGCAAACTAATTTATGCAGTAGCCAAATCACTCACTCACAATTTCAGTGCCAGTAGCTCACAAAGTAGAATTTTTGCTCACAAGACTCCACAGCTTAGAGGGAGCATTGGACTCGTGACCCACACGGATCTTTCCTCCTCCCACCACCACTCTGTCTCCATCAGACTCGATGCAAGTTCTTGCAGAATGTGTTGGCGCTAGCCAACCCATGGCTCTACAGGAGGTTTTTGATTGATTGCAGCTGTACAACTCCCCCCACATACACACACAGAGAAACATTGTTTGTTCCGGGGTGTGTGTGCTTGGCTGGTGATATTAGCTGCTTCTTTGCTTTGGCCTGTTGGCCGACAAAACTCCAGCACACATCTCCCTTTAGCCACCCTAACCGTGTGCACACGTGAAAGTATGCCTCATTAGCAAAGCTCCCTCTAAGCTGTGGAGTCTTGTGAGCAAAAATTCTACTTTGTACACTACTGGCATTAAAGTTGTGAGCGAGCGATTTGGCTCCTGCATAAATTAGCTTGCTCTGGAGCCATCCTTCCTGAGCGAAGACAAAAATGTGTGAGCCGGACGCTAAAAAACTGTGAGCTAGCTCACACTAACTCAGCTTAGCGGGAACACTGCTCATTAGTCACTTTGACGATCGTGAGGCATGCTCAGATTACATTCTCCAGATGTAAAAGGCAGAGGAGCTCAAGAGCCTTAATAATCTGGCGCCCCTCCATGCAGCGTTGTTGAAGAGGGGCCCTGGCTCGGCGGCAGAGGCTCTGCTTTGCGTGCCCCATGGCCTGGGACCCCACCTGGCATCTCTCGGGCAAGGATGCCCGGCTGCCAGAGCTGGGGAGAGCACTGTGGGGGTGCCCCTGCTGGGAAGAGGAGAGGAGGCGGGGTTGGATGCACCACCGACCTCCTCCGCCTCTTTTCTCAAGTGCTCCCCAGTCCAGAAGTGCTCAGAACAGGAAATGTAAATCCTTCCTGGAAACCACATTTCAAGAATCCAGGAGGATGTGACTAATGGGGAATTTTTCTCTTTCCAACCCCCCCCCCCCCGCGCTCTTCCTGGGTCACAAATGTCCAAAGAGATAAATGATGCTCTGCATTTGCAGCATCCACGACAAACCCCCTTACCAGGGAATCCCGTAGATCAGTGGAAGAAAGAGTAATAAGCTTGCGAAAGGATGCAGGGTCAAGTCCCAGCCACGAACACACCTGAATCAGACCCTCAGTCCATCAGGGTCAGTCAGTACTGTCCACTCAGACGGGCAGTGGTAGGTCTCCGTGGTCTCAGCCAGAGGTCTTTCACATCACCTACTTGCCTGGTCCTTTTTTTTACCTGGAGATGCTGCCGGGGATTGAGCCTGGGGTCTTCTGTATGCCAAGCAGAGGCTCTGCCACTGAGCCACAGACCCACCCTAACACACACGAACCTAGTAAAAGGTAAAGGTTTCCCTCGCTCGAAAGCCAGTCAGATCCAACTTTAGGGATGCGGTGCTCATCTCCGCTTCCAAGCTGAAGAGCCAGCGCTGTCCAAAGACATCTCTGTGGTCATGTGGCTGGCATGACTAGACGCCGAGGTGCACGGAACGCTGTTACCTTCCCACCGAAGCAGTACCTATTTATCCACTTGCAATTTCTTGCTTTCGAACTGCTGGGTTAGCAGGAGCTGGGGACAGAGACGGGAGCTCACTCCGTCACACAGCACTCGGGTCTCGAACTGCCGAACTACCGGCCTTCCAGTCTGCAGTTCAGCGTCTTAACCCAAAACAGACCACTAGGTCCACCAAGGTCAGTTCTTGTCTACTCAGACTGGCAGCAGAGCTCCCCAGGGTCCCAGGCAGAGAAAGGTCTTTCACATTACCAGCTCCCTGGATCTTTTAACCAGAGATGCCAGGGATTGAAGCTGGGGTCTTCTGCATGCCAAGCAGGGGCTCTATGTCAGGTAACCTTGTCATAGATCTGGAATGTGGAGGGGTACCCTCCTTCTCGTTCTCAGCTCTCTCCTGCTCAGCTACTGTGTGCTATCTTATCTTTGACCTTGTAGATGTTCCAGCTGCAGTTTACACGGCTGGGAAAGTTAACGGCTTTTCTGCTATGCCCGCTTGCTTTGCCGCACATGCGAGATACATCCATTGGCTCGTGCTTACAGGGAGAATGTTTGATTTCACTATAAGTCAGAGGCCCTAGTACTGACAGCCATTCCTGACACAAGCTGTACACGTGTTCTTTAGTACTGGATCCACTAATAAACAGTTATCTTCTTATGAAACCCTGTGTTGTGTGACCTGACTAAGGAGCCTGGCACTCTACCACTGAGCCATGGCCCCTCCCTATTAAATCTCCCAGGGTTGTGCCCTGGGCACGGTAGAAGAAAAGGAGCTTACAGGATGTTGACCAACGGTAGTTGGGCCCAGCTAGGAGGGCAACAGCTATAGACAGACAGGATCCCCCGCGATTTGGAAACTTCTTAGCGGATCAAATGGCCAGGAGCATTTATTTGTGCAGTTTATTAAGGAAATATGTATCATACATTTCTGCTAAAAATACAGCGCTCAGGGTGGCTTTCGCAGCCGGTGAGCCTTGCCCAGCCGAGCAGACGTACATCTGAAGGCTGCAGACAGACAGCAGAGGAAAGAACTCCCATGTTTCCAGCAGCAGCAGCAGCAGCAGCAGCAGCAGCAGTCCAGCTCCTGTTCTCCCGCGAGGGCAAACTGGCGGAGGAACAGGGACATGGTACGGAACGGGGGTCATCTGAGGTCTCTCCTCCAGGCAGTTTAGGATCTCTGCAACATGAGGAAAGGCAGGCTGTTAGCAGTGCCACCGTCGGACGGGGGAAAGCAGGCGACTTGCCCACTGAGAGGCTGTCCTGCCAAAGGTTCCGGGGAGGGACTGTATGCTGTTTTGTTTGTATGCATATTTTAGCCTCGGCATGGCCGTCTGTTAGCCGCCCTGAGCTGTTGGATAGGTCGGGATATAAATCCCAATAAATAAATAAATATAAATAAATAAGTCCATTTTAACCATTCAAATACTGGTCAAGTTCAACAAACACTTCTTATATTGTAAATTGTCATTTTAATATTGTTTTAAATTGTATATTTAACTGTTGTACACCGTCCTATGCCCATCTGGGAGGGTGGTATATAAATCTAATTAAATAACTAACTAACTAAATATTTTCTTAAAGAGTTAGGATCCCACAGTACTTAATACAAAGGACAAAATCCAAATAAAGGATTAGTGGACTTTATTTGGATTTTGTCCTTTGTGTTAAGTACAGTTGGATCCTAATCAACTGTAATAGCGGGAGGTGTCCAGGGGCCACCTGGAAGTTGGCAGCCCTGGAGGAGAGAGTTGTCTCTGTTCTTTTGCTTTGCCCATTGGGCCTGACGAATGCAGGCAGAGGCAGGGGAGTGGGCTGAAGAGCGGCTAGCAAGCGTAGTCATGGCTGCTCCATTTGGCTGCTCCTTCACTGGCAGCAGTGCGCAGCTCCTGGCACCACATGCCCCCAAGATGAGTGGGGGGCGGGTTGTCCAGGGTGGGGCTAGGGTTGCCGATTCCAGCTCAGGACCTTACTGGGAAGTGGGGGGGCCTGGGGGTTTTTGGAGAGGGAGCTCTGCAGGGCTGCGATGTCATGGACTCCAAGCCCCCCCCCCAGCCAATCTCTGTGTTCTGGGGACCCGTTGCAATTCCAGGCAGTGTTCCCTCTAAGCTGAGTTGGTGTGAGCTAGCTCACAGTCTTTTAGCCTCCGGCTCACGGATTTTTGTCTCCGCTCAGGAGCAAGCCATTTCATGCAGTAGCCAAATCGCTCGCTCACAACTTTAATGCCGGTCGCTCGCAAGGTAGGATTTTTGCTCACGAGACTCCACAGCTTAGAGGGAGCACTGGTTCCAGGAGAAGCCCAGGTACCACTGGGAGGCTGGTGAGCCCAGGTGGCCCCTGTGAGCTCTTGGGAACTCCCCGCCCCCGGCTTCTGCCTTTGGGCTTCACGGTCTTCCCATCAGCGGAGGGTGGAAGAAGAGACCGTGCCAACTCATGCCACGTCCTGGCCAAGCGAGGGGCCCAGGCGCTCAGCCGGAAGAGTTCATTGACCTCACTCACCTTCAGATGGCGGTCCAGCCGCTCTTTCAGCTGCTTCACCCACGGAAGGTGGGGGGGCGCACAGAGCTGCCTCCCTTTCACGGTGATGAAACTGTAAGAAGCAGAAGCAGAAGGGCTGGTCAGGAACCGGAGGCTGCCTCTGCCGCTGGGGGGGGGGCGATCCTCCTCCTCTCTCATCCAGGGGAGACCTTCCAATCCGACCTTCCCTAGGCCCAGCGGGTTAAATCTCCGCTGCACCCCCACCCTCTTCTGCCATAGGGCTCTGTTCCTTGCAACGGGCAGCCATGAAGACAGAAGAGTCAGGTGGGGAGCTGTGCTGGTCTGAAGCCGCAGAGCAAAGTTTGAGTCCAGTCGGGCACCCAAGACCAACACAATTTAACTCTGGCTCTAAGCTTTCAAGTGCATGTACACGAAGAAATGTGCATGCAAACAAAAGCTTATGCTGTGAATAAAACTTTTTCGGTCTTAAAGGTGCCTGACTGGACTCCCACTTTGTTCAACAGGCAACCATGGTGCTGAACAAAACACACAGTGCAGGGAGCCAGGTTGAAGTCCCGCAGAACCTTAGAAGCCAACAAGATTTCCGGGATATCAGCTTTCGAGAGACTTCAGAGCTCTCTTCATCAGATACGCGGCCACGACTCTCTTGGTACCTAAGAGCCAGTTTGGTGTAGTGCGGACTCTAATCTGGGAGAACCGGGTTTGATTCCCCACTCCTCCACATGCAGCTGCTGGATGCCCTTGGGCAAGCCATAGTTCTGACAAGAGCTGTCCTTGAAAAAGAGCAGTTTCTGTCAAGAGCTCTCTCAGCCCCACCGACCTCACAGGGTGTCTGTTGTGGGGAGGGGAAGGGAAAGGAGTTGAGACTCCCTTGGTTAGTGAAGGGCGGGGTATGAATCCAAACTCTTCTTCTTCATTAGAATTTTAAAATTCTGGAACCGCCAGAAAGGACGCCAGAAAGGACGCCAGAAAGCATAGCTAATAATTCACATGTGCACCCCCCTGAAACACAGCATAGGGCTCCATTTCAATTGTGCTTTTTTAAAAAAATCACCTTTAAAATGATGATTACATCAGAGGACAAACATACAGACAAACAAGCAAAAACTTCTTGTCTCCAGGATGGAAGACCAAAGCCCCTTTGCTCTGCCGAAGGCATCCTGGCCTAGGACAGCAAGATGGGGTGAACAGCAGGCCCATAGCTATGGTGGGGCTCCGCGGGGCTCTGCCCCCTTACTTAAAGGCACAGCCCCAAAGGAACTTGTCCTCAAAACACTTTCAAAATCTTTCTTTTTACAAATTTTTAAAGGACTGCACTCCCGCTGCGAGCCATGCTCCATTTGAAGACCTGCGGATGTGAATACCCTTCGGAGCCCCCCCCACCAGACCAGCCGCGAAGTAAACAAGAAGAAGAAGAAGAAGAAGAAGAAGAAGAAGAAGAAGAAGAAGAAGAAGAAGAAGAAGAAGAAGAAGAAGAAGAAGAAGGGCCTTCACTACCCAAAGGTGTCTCAGACCGGCTCACAAACTCCTTTCCCTTCCCCCCCCCACAACAGACACCCTGTGAGGTCGGTGTGGCTGAGAGAGCTCTGACAAAACTGCTCTTTTTCAAGGACAGCT